GTGCTGCCTGTGGTATCCTCTGGTCCATGCAGTCCTTGCTTTCTGCTTCACAGGTGTGAGGGTCCTCCTCTGGGCACTCAGATTAGGCTGAGCATCCTTTTCCAGTTCTCCCACAGCTACTTTACCATATTAGGTAGCATGGAAATAGCCTTTATTATCAGTAAGCTCCATTTGTTGCTTCTTGTGTATGCTCTGATGGGGGATTGAACCCACAACCCTGGCCTATCAGGATGATGCTCTAACTAACTGAGCTACCCGGCCAAGGCCCTGAGTTTTGTTTGCTTGTTTGTTTTCTTAATCATAAAAGGATTTGGGATTTTGTGAAACACTTTTTCTAGGTCAATTGACATGGTCATCTGATTTTATTTTCATTCTATTAATGTGGTGTATTACATTGGTTGCTTTTCATGCATTGAACCATCCTTGTATTTTCTGGGAATATATCCCACTTGATCATGGTGTATCATCCTTTTAATAGACAGACAGTTCCTGACTTAAGAGCCTTCATCCTACAGTGGTGTGGAGGTGACATGCAGTCAGTAGAAACTGCACTTCAAATTTTGAATTTGGATCTTTTCCTGGGCCAGTGATGTGCTCCTGGTCAGAGAAGTCATCATGAGGGTAAAGAGCCAGCACTCCGCGGTGCAGTGTGTCCCCAGCCCTTGTCTGGACCTTGTGTTTGAGCACGTTTAAGGCAGCAGGCTAAGCACATGTCAGCAGGCTCGGTGTATTAAAGTGCCGCTCGTGAGGTGTGACGTGTGCCAAGAAGCAGAGGGGCGTGATGGCGTCGGAAGAAAAGGCTGGAGTGCTTGCTGCGTGCCGTCAATGGACAAGGGGAGCCGTTTGTGGCTGGTGCCACGGAAGCCCTGCCCCAGGTCTGCAGCTTCGCTGCCCACTATCTCACAATGTGGAAGTGTCCAGTGTTGGGACCCGGGTGAGGAACGAGAGGAAGTCTGTGGGGCTGTCGCTGCAGCTGCACCTGCGGCGGGAAAACCTCGCGCTCCTAGGGAAACCCTTCATCCCAGTCTGAGAAGAGGGCTTTTCCGGCTGCAGGGTGGCTGTGAGAAAGGCTGTGGACTCCAACTGGCCGTGGAGAGCAAATCATCGCACGACAGCTCGAAAAGAAGGCGAAGGGTCCAAAGCTGGAGAAGTTCACGCCAGCAGGGGGTGGTCGGGTCCTTTTAGAAAGAGGTTTGGCCTAAAGAACTGCCAAGATAACAGAAGAAGCGTTTCTGCCTCAGACAATTCCCAACCCATAAAGAGAATCGCCAAGGGGCAGGAGGTCTGTCCGAACGGGTGCCTGGAAGGAAGTGTCAGGAGACCTTTCCTGTGAGGAGAGGAAGACGCCCCGGGACCTAAGAGGCCGGGGTGAGCTGATGCCCCTGTTTGTGCAAACACAGCCGGTTTGGCTCAGAACGGCCTTATCGCGAAAGCTGCTAACCCCCAGCCTGGAGGGAAGATAAACACCAGCTGGCAGCCCTTGGCAGCCCCGGGAGACGGTCTGGACACGAGGGCCCTTGCTGGGTGGGCTCCACGGGCGCTCAGTCCCTGAGGCCAGGAAGTGCCTGGCTGGTGAGGGACTGTCTTAAAGTTCTTTTATATTTAAAAAATATATATATATTATTGATTTTTTTACAGAGAGGAAGGGAGAGGGATAGAGAGTTAGAAACATCGATGAGAGAGAAACA